AGACCAGCTTCTCACTTTGCTGCATATCCTTCAGTAACACAACCAAAACACACAAGATGGAAAGATTTTATATTTTGGTGTTATGTTTGAAGTAATGTTTTTATGTTTTTGGCCCCCCAGTTCATTCCTTAGACACTTGTTTTTTTTCTGGGCCTCAAATCTAAAATTACTACTGACACTTAGATTGAAAAGGTAGAGTGCATTTACCCAGAGTCCAAGGGAATAACTTAGGCTGAGCTGGATGAAGCATGATTTTTAAAAAATGCCTGGTTGAACTCCACGAATGTGTGGAGACTTAGCTTAGAACATTGTTTGAGATGTAACTTTTCTTTTTATAGTTCTTTTTTTTCTAGTTACCTTTATTTCAAAGTTTGTCACATCTAAATAGTGTGTATTGTTCTCCTCCTCCTCCCCTGCCTTAGTGTAGTGTAGTAATTAAGAGTACGGAGGATTTGGAGGTCAACCGGCTTTGATCTGAATCTAGATTCTCTCAGTTACTAGCTGGAGGCCAGGAGGCTATAGCCAATTTACTACAGTTCTCCAAGCCTCAGTTTCTTCATCTGTGAGTTGGGCATGAAGGTAACAACATCTTAAGTGTTGTGAGGATGAGTGGTGAGTACAGTTGAGGTGCTGAGCACAGGGCCTGAATGGAGCTGACTTCCAGAGCACAAGGTGGCAGTGGGGTTGCATTTGTCACAGTAGTCCAGGCGAGCATTACCTCCTCCGGGACTCACATTTTCATTGTGTCTTTGAATGAGTGACTTGCTCTGTGTGTTCGCTTGCTTGGTTTCCAGACTCCTTTCCTGTAATGCTTTTGGTGGGCAGGACTCCCAGTGATCAGCTGGTCATCTGTCCCCGCAGGCTTCCGGCTCTTCCCGTACTGGCCGTGGAGCAAAGGATGGCCGACGTGTGAAGTAAACTCCCTCTTACTCCACCTGTGTGAGCTGTGTTACCAGGAGGTCTTTCTAGGGGTGCATTGGAGGCTAGCCCTGTCAGGCTGAGTGCGCTTTTTTTGAAATGTTAGTTATAAAGAATGAATAAATGTCTGTGCTGTAGGAAACAATCTATTTGGTTTAATATTTTGGTCTTGGCAGGTGTAGCATCCAGAGTCTTCTCTTTTTGTTCTGGTTTTTCAGACTGTGAACTAGTCATTCTGCTGTATCCAGTGATGTCCATAAATAACCGCTTAAACACATGCTGAATGTATTTGAAACATGTGGTCATTTAATTATGATTTGATTCCCTCAATTTACAAAAGAGTTCTCTGAATGTTGCATTAACCTCAGCAAACGTTCCCAGATAGGAAATGTATTTTCTGCTGCCATTACTATGATTTTTTAGGATTTTACGGGCAAATATTCATTTGGGATTTTCTACAGCACTCAGTGTATGCCCACACCTGAATTGTTCCTCGGACAGTGGCATGGGAGATGCCAGGGAGATTCTGTGTGATGACTTAATCGTAAAGAGAGCTTTCTTTCTAAAGGTGTGGATTTTCTCTTTGAAATTAATTTACTGATAGACTCCTATCATTTTATGCCAAACCTGTGTTCATTTCTTAATGACTTGTTAATTAAAATAGCAATTTGGAGGATTGACCAGAGATGCCAAAGTATTCATAGTAAACCTGTTCTTGTGCAGCAAGGTGGTAAATCATGAATATCAAAGTGCTAATCATACTCATGTGAATTCATTCAGGAAGCACGGAAAACATAGCTGTTCCCATATGTGTATATCACTTATTAGCCTAACATTTCTTTGAGTAGGGTAAGTACATATATTTTTTACATGTACAATGGCAAAATTATGCTTTTGTCTTGCTCCCTACCTTGTGTTCTACTTGTGTGTGTCTTGTCTACCCCATTAGGAGCCCTCAAGGGTTTTGTGGTCTCTCTTATCCTCTGGGCTCCTTCCACAGCACCTGCTCAACAGATGCTTGAAAGCGGGGAAGGGAATGAAAGATCATGAATCGTCAGTGTGTCAAGTACTGTTAGGCACATTTTATATATGGTCGTGTTGAATCCTAAGAGCCCTTGTAAGGTAGAGATGAGTCCTAGTTTACAGGTAAGAAAATTGAGATTCAGGTGTGCAGAGCACCCTTCTGAGATTCCCCCCAGGATATTCAGTCCAGATCTGTGTGTCTTGGCAGTGGAAAATTTTGATTCTGAAACATTGTTTTCAGTGAAAGACAGAGGCGAAACAGAGGTGGCTGAGCAACAGTAGGGAATCCCACAGAGGAACGATCGGGACATTGCTGGACAGAGGATGAATCTGGGAGTCAGATGAACCTGAGTTTACACCCGGGATCTACACTTAGTAGTTTTGTGGCTGCAAAATCCTTCTCTCTCTGCGCTCTATTTCCAAAGCTAGAGAATGGAGATGATGGGGAAGTCACCTTCCTTGCAGAGAGAGACAGTGTTGTCCCCATTTTACAGGCAGGGAAATGGGAAGTGTAGTGACGTAAGTCCCTTGGCAAGATCAGGGCCATGGCAGTTTGAGAACTCACATCTCAGCTCCTGTTGCTTGTCACCTCTCCAGATGCCAAGTCTGGGTACAATTTGGTGACAGAACTGCCGTCACCTGTCACCCACCCTTGATTAGCTCCCGCTTGCATGCCCCATTGACTTGGGGATTGTTACCATCCATTCCTTAGAGCCACTTGGCTGATTCATGTCTCCTTTTCTCTGTGTTGTTTACTCCTGTGTTCTCGAAGATTATTCCCAGAGAGTACAGAGGTTCCTCAAGACTTACTCTTGAGGAATCTGCCCCACGCGGGACTTCAGAGGAATAGAAGGTGGCAGCCCTATTGTATTTGGGTGGCATTCAGTTTAAGAGCTGGTATTTGAGCACTTACTCTGTCATAGGTGCTCTGAGGGACACAGAAGTATCCACAAAACAGGTTGACCTTGGAGGAGCTTATATATTTAGATAGAAAAGGCATACCCATGATACTTGAATGATCCAAGATACTTGATCTAGAACAGTGGCTCACTGTACTGGGGGGAGGCAATAAGGGGTGTATTGTCTGCAGAGGATTTAAACACAATAGTGAAATTGCCTCAGAATTGGTTTGCTTTTTATCATCATGATGTGCCATGGTGACAGACTATTCTTCCACTGGAGCAGATCCGTCACCCTGACCCTCAGTGCTGCACTGGGTCAATAATCTGCCAAAATGAGTGTTAGGAATGAGATGTTCAGGAGGTCACAGTGGAGTGGTCGGTGTGGACTGAATCATTGGGAAGGCTGCACGGAAGTCCTCTCCCCTCCCTCTGTGTCTGAAAGGACTCCAGGAGACAGTGTGTACCCTGATGACAGGAGCAGTCATTGGCGCCAGCACGAGCCATGGGCCATGAGCGCTTTACGTGCATTGCCTCCCTGCATCCTCTTGGCAGCCCTGAAAGGCTGGCAGCCCAAGATTGTTCCGTAGATGAGGAACCCGGAGGCTCCATGAGGGGCAGAGATGTGGGCAAGTGATGGACCATCTCCAGGTCTCGATCTCTTCCCCTGTGAAATGAGGGCTGTCATGCCCAGCTCTCCAGGAGTCCAGGAGGCTCAGCAGCGCTAATGCTAAAGCCCCTTACACATAGACGTTTCTTGAATGTCAGTCTCTCCTAATGGTAGTGTGTGCAGAGGTGAGTCTGCGCAATGTGAGTTGTTGGCACGTGGCTGATAAACACGAATGTCCAGATAGCCCTCATGGGTAACGCAGTCCTTTTTTTTCTCTTTCATGTTACTCTCCACAAAACCCTTTTTGCCCTACATTTTGTAGAATTACTATTTATTGATTTGTACCGATAATAATAGGAGTTGGCCATTCAGTCTCTGACATGCTCTCTCTGGCTAAATACAAAGAGATAACTCCTTCACAAGGAGAGATCAGATCTCTTAAAAAGAAGATGAGGTTTTAGTGGACAACTTTGGAAAGGTGTGAAACATTACTCGCACATAATTTTTACTTTCATTAAATACTCATAATTTTTACTCTCATTAAATACTACAAGACACTGGAGTGTACAAAACTGCATTAAGGTCTGCTCTCTTTTGGGTCTGGGTCAGGATATACAAGCTGAAATGTTGCCCGAGTGTTGCCTTAGTAAGTCATTAAAAGGCACTAAAACGTCGAATTTTCTCTGTGAAAAAGAGAGTGTCCTAGTTTTACAAATGTGTGCATTAATACGAAGTGAAAAATTTCCCAAAATTGTTACTCAGAGAAAGAGGGAGTTGCTGTATATTAGGGTCCTTACAGAATCTTCCATTTTACAAAGGTCCTGATAAGTTTCTTAGTCAGAGTTCACCAGAATCACTGGATGGATGAGACTCATGAGTGACTGGTTGAGGACAGATGAGGAGGGCACATTAGCCTGAAATCCCCTTTATCAGTACTTAAGATGAATGCTTATAGGGGTTGCAAGATGAAAAAGTGTTTTTAAAAAAGCATAGGAATTGAATACAGCTTTAGTAATTATTCCTGAGGTCATGACTTCACAATTGCCAAATGTTGAATGTCATATCAGGTAAGGTAATGCTAGTTGCTCTAACAAGTAAACCCAAACATGTACCATGGCTTGACCATGATGGAAGGTTATTTTCCATTTGCATAAAGCCCAAAATGGGTGTGTCTGTTTCAAACCTAGAGATTCAGGGACCCAGCCTCTTTCCATCTTATGGCTCTGCTTTATGTAACAGGCAGTTTCCAAGGGCATGGTGCTTGTCAGCCTCCAGCTGGTGGAAGCAGAAAGATCATGGAGGATTGCATATGGCAGATCTTGATGGGCCAGGCCTGAGAGTGGCATGCCTTACTTCTATTCCCATTTCATTGACTACATTGCAGTCTTATGGTCATTCCCACCTACAGCAGAGACTAGGAAATGTAGTCTAGCTCTATGTTTGGGAAGAAGAGGAAATGGATTTGCTACTCGCTGTCAAGTCAAATTTTGTCAAGACTATTAAGGGTCACTTTAAAAAGTAATACACTCAGTAACATGCTGTGGGGATCATGACTATATTTTTACCTATGAGGACAACTGTCCTGATGCTCTGTGCAGGTCTTCTTATGGTGTAGGATAGATTTTTCAGTGACAGTGTCACACAGAGATTTGAAAAGCGCTGTATCATAGGCAACTTGGAAGAAAAGGAGATGATGTGCTTGGGAAAATTGTTAGACGACTCAAAAAGTGTTGACAGGCGTGTAGAAGATGTCTGGGAAAACCCTGAATTACATTGCTTCATGGAAGGTGGGCGTGGAAAGAAAAGTACTATTTCTAAATCATAATATATATTATTTCATGTATTTGTCGTAAAGTTTACTTAGTCAGGTTGACCAAAACTTGGGTAGCAGAAGGAGGAGGTATTGTGGATCTTCTCGTTGGGAAAAGAGGAGGGCTGTCTTATTCAAGCACATATGGTAATTGAAACTTAAAGAAATAAAGAACTTTATACTGGAACAAGGGGTCCCTCTTACAGTGTGGGAGAGGGTCGTCAGATGTGCTGAAAACATCATTCTGCATCTGGGAGCAAAAGGAGAGGCGAAAGCTCGGGAACGGGACTGATGCCAATCCTGAGCTCTGAGGGAATGAGAAAGGACCCAGATGGATTGGACAAGGGAGAGGCAGGCGATGGGAGCATCTCTGCCCTCTCTCTGGGAGGAGCCCCTGGCAACATCTGTCTCGTGGTCGTGGGCATATGCATGTGGTCTCTTGCCTCTTTCTTGCTGTGTGAGATGGGCAGATGACTCAACCTCTCGGTTACCTCAACTGTACGCTGAAGGGCCCCTGTGAGATTGAGTGAGATGACATGTTCACAGGGCTGTGCGCACAGTAGGAGCTTTATCAATGCCCCCTGCTGCCACCTCCTGTGCAGCTACTCACCAGCTCCATTGTTGGTGAACATTGTCTCCCTGACTGGCTGTGAGAGATCGGGGAGATGTTTTCCCCCTGTAAAATGTGACTTCATGACAAAAAGAGTCTGGGCTTCCTTCACCCCTAAAAACTCCTCTGTACAGTATCCTATAGTGGAGGTTTGGCAAAGGTGGGAAGGAGAACTTCATTAAGTCATTGATTTTTAGTTCCAGAATTCCTGTTCTTTGGCTTTAGCTTTGGATATAGGGAGGTATAAAAGGCTGGTCTTATGAGGAGGTGTTCTATGGTGCCCAAGAGTTGTCACATCATTTCCCAGGACAGAGTCTCATGCAATCTTCATAGCAACCTTCTGAGGTACAGGATGGGGGAGAGGGGTTACTATTGATTTTATAGATGAGGAAACTGAGTCACAGAGCAGGTATGTGATCTACCTGATGCAGGCAGGCCTGGGACTAGACAACAGGCCTATTCCACAATTGTGTTAAAGTGGACACCTCCCCTCCCCTCGCCAGATCCCTGCAGAAGGCATCGGCAGGGACATCAGCAAGAGAAGTTAATCAGGCTAAAGAAAGAACCTCAGTATTTGGGTGACTAAAGCCAAGTTTGGAATGTGCTTCCTGACTTCAGATGGTTTCTAAGCTTTGCAGGACTTTGCTGGCTTGATGGTTGCTTGCTGGTGGGGAAAACATAAATATAAAGTGGTCATCTTTTTAAATATTCCTTTGGGATTTTATTTGTTTACAAACTCTTTGTACTCAAAGAAGCAAGCAAAGAATTGGAGATAAAAGCCAATGAGCCCTTCTTAAAGTGGAAGTTATTAACTGTCTGTCTTCCCCATCCCTTGTTCCCTTTTCCTACTTTAGGAGTATTTCCACATCCTGTGCCTGTAGATACATACATTTTTATTTACTAGTTTAATTTATTTTGAAAGATGTCTCTCTCATTTAATTTCCCCCCCAAAATTAAAATGAGGGACCCAGGGACTCGTGACGCACTCCCAACTTTCTCTGTTAGCTGTCTTACTTCTTGTAATACATGCCAAGAACTTACACAGAAGGATGTGGATGGACTAGACCTGTTTGGGTCTCTTGCACCAAGTGTGGGCAGAGGGGGGACTGAGTTACAAGAACTGGAGTGGGAACCTGAGAAGGAAGAGAAGAAAGTACACCCAGGTATCACAGGATCACCTCTGTGGATGCCAAAACTTATCTCAAAGCATCCCTGGTCATCTAATGAAAAATAGAACATAATTGCTGTGTCCACGCTAGAATCCCTTTTTTGCAACCTTTAATATATTTGGAGGAAGGGTAGGAAAGATGTTGGCTCCCTCTATTTTCCTGAACCATTCATTCCTGAACTGCGTAAATGAACCTACTTGGAGACGCAGGTGTGCTAGGAAGCTGCTAGGACTACATTGTACTCTTCCTTTCCCTTCTTTCTTCTCAGATTCTGTAACACACACTCGGTACTTTCCTGCCTTCCCTCCGTTTGCCCTGGAGAAAAAGATTGTCAACAAATATTCAGTGGTGCCAAAGGGAGAAGAAAAAACACAGGATGGGTCACCAAATGGTGCTGCATTTTATTTGCATGATGTCAGAGAAGCTGACTGCTTAGGTGAGCTCTCTTGAGATGGCATCGCTTAGGGGAATCCACAGCATGAAGCATAGAAGAAAAACTAGATTTTGTCAGGACCCCCAGGGTTGTTGCAGGTCAAAAAGACTAACGGTTTCCAGACTCATAAGAGATGGAAGAATGAAAAGATGGTCCCTTGGCCAATTAGCATGTTCCTCACATCAATAAAATCTTCATGGGAAGCCCACTTGTTATGGGAAGATTAACTGATAAGTACAATAGGAAAGCAAATGAGATAGTTGATGGCTCAAGCCGTAGAACCCAACCTGGGTTAGTTTCGTATGGCCTGTAGAGAAGTTCTAGTCCATCAGAGCACAGGAGGCTGAGTATTATCAAGAGTTCCACACAGTAGGTGCCTTCATCCCCAAATGTTGGGGATATCTATCTCTTAGTTACAGATAATATAAGACATTAGCCCTTGGTGACAGGTTATTGAAATAGATCATTTCTGAGTCCTTTCATTATTTCTAATTCTATTTCTTAATTTGTGGAACAAAAGCTAAGGGTTAAAAGTTTGCATACCTAAGGAATAACCCTAAGTTGTGAGTAGCACTTTTATTCATTCAATAAATATGTATCAGTTGTCCACTGTGTTATTTGACTTTAAATTCTGGTGCTTTTAATTCTTTGCTAGATTCAAACTAGTTTATCACTTGTCAGTTGCCGCCTTTGCTGGTCGCTCTGTTGTCTTGGCTTTTAGGGTAAATTATGGCTGCTCTTCTGATTTTCCCCTCTTCTTACTAATTTGCTGTATGGAGGGACGCTGATGATCAAATTTAATGTTATTGCGTGTAACGTAAAGGCAGGTTGATACTTTCCTCGTTTGCCTGGAACTCTTTAAGACTCTTATCGTGTCCTACCTTGTTTCTTGGTCCTTTAAATACTTCTGTCTTCTGTTAGTCTGTAGCTCTTAAGGTCAGGCTGTGCTTTCGCTTCATCTTTGTAGTTTCTGCCATTGTGCTTGAGTTGTGGCGTAGGACCTCAGGAACTGTTTCCTTAACTAGGAAGGCACAGGAGTATTTGTGCAACCTCAAAAGCTCTGTTAGAAATGGAAGATGGGGGCCGGCCCTGTGGCTTAGCGGTTAAGTGCGTGCTCTCTGCTGCTGGCGGCCCGGGTTCGGATCCCGGGCGCACACTGATGCATCGCTTCTCCGGCCATGCTGAGGCTGCGTCCCACATACAGCAACTAGAAGGATGTGCAACTATGATGTACAACTATCTACTGGGGCTTTGGGTGGGAAAAAAAAAAAAAAAGAAAGAAATGGAAGATGGTCATGAATCTTGTAACTCTCCTTTTTGAGGACCCCAGGAGTTGGGGCACTCCTTCTTTGGCACCTGTCACTTTGACAGCCCCTTTCTTCATCGCCACAGACTCTCCCAGCTACCATTTGCTCAAGCATCAAGAACACTGAAGCATCCTTTCTAACTCCAGGGCAGTGCTGTGGACACATAGGAGATCACAGCTCAGACTCGCTAGTGAAGGATGGTATACGCAGTCCCTTCCTCCTGCAGGCATCCTGCTACTGTTTTGGAGATTTTCTCTGTGCCACAGAGGTTTGAATCAGTCAAGTCTAGGAATGTTTGTTTTCTTGGGAAACGCAGCCCTATTAAAGCCATTGTTTTAAAAGTCACTCGGAGCATTGAAAACCTCAGCTCATCAATTCGTAGTGTGAAAATTTAGGAGTGGTTGGGGCTTCGGGCAAGCAATATTGACTTAACCGTGCAGAGCGCTTTAAGACAACACTTGATTGTACATTTTAAAATAGGGAATGCAAATGGAAATTCCTCCTGGGTGCTTTAAATCATGCATTATATGTGCAGTATTTTCAATTAGCTGCAGAAGAAAATATGTTCCGTGTGGCTCTATTTTTGCAGCTGGGAATTGCTCTGAGAACACAATTGACTATTTCATACGTGTGAGATTTATTTAAATGACTCATGGGGCATTTGCGGTTTAACCAATAATTGAAAATATTGTTGCAGTGTGGCAGGTAAAAGTAGGAAGTCATTTTGCATTCCTGAAGAGGCGCTCCAAACTCAGTAACAATGTCACATGAGTCAAAGGGGCAGGCAGTGGACAGGGGGTTAGGGCGGTATTGAGAGTCCATCCTTCACATTTCATTCCTGGGTTGTGCTACACCGTGAGAAGAAAGAGAATGATCAACTGCCTGAGGATTCTGTGGGATGGTGCTCTCAGGAAGGATCCGAAGCACTAAGGTGATATCTTGTTTCTCTCTCCTGTTTTCATATACCAGACACAGGTGGAAGGTCGGATCAGGTATGAGGAGCCCCATCCTTCCGCCAACTCTTCTCTGACCTCCTATTCCTTCCCCACCATCTCTGCTACCTGTTTGATATCAGACATCACCCAGAGCACAGATGCACAAGGCTAAGCAGAGTCTCAGGATGGACCAACCAACCCCTCCGTGGTGGTTCATAACATTACTAGGGATTTGGATTGCATGTTCCCACTGAAATGATGGTACAAATCGTGGTTGGTAATACTGTATTAAGATGCATTATTTCTCGTGTGATTCAGACAAAGTATGGGTAAATTAGGCATTTTGTGTGCAGAATTAAAATCCTAACCACCCATTTCTAATTTTTCTCTGGATCAGTGGTTCTCAACCAGAGGCAGTCCTCCCTCTCCCAGGAACATTTGTCAGTGTCTCCAGACATTTGGTTGTCACAACTGGGTGGCGAGTGCTACTAGCATCTAGAGGGTAGAGGCCAGATACTGCTAAACATCCTACAACCTACAACAAAGGATTGTCCAGCCCAAAATGTCAATAGTGCCAACATTGTGAAACCTTGCTCTAGGATTTATTAAAAAAAAAAAAAGTGACTCCCCAAAATACTTTAGATCACAACCTGCTTGTAAGATGGCTGTTTCTGT